CCTAACCCCTACCTGCTTCCTTATGCCAAGCTCACACTACATGACTTTTTGACCCGATTCTGACGCCAAAGACTACTTCAAGACTAGTTTTCCAGCTCAAGTATAAGCTGTGAAAAATGCGTTCCATCGCTGGAACTGTCCTCTGATGTGACGTGATTAAAGATGAAATTATTGCAGTCTGGAACCAGTCTGAACCTCGATGGGGGAGCCTAGGGTGATTTCAAACTGTTCGGATTTAGTTGGGAGTCTCGGCCGATGCATCGTTCGAGTGCACAACAAACCCAATGAAAATGACTAAATACAAAAGCAGCTGATTTGATTTGGCCAGTGATTAGACACGCGTTAGTAGAGCGCGGTGTGATTCCAGCTCCCTGAGCAGCAGTGTCATTTACGGTTTCATGAACAGCCTACGCCATGTTCTTTGATGAGAATATACAACCCAGTATCACATGGCTGTGAAATAGTCATGAGATTTCCGGCTCAGGAACACGATTAAAGTTTTATTTGTGTTACACTTTCACAAACATGTGTGACACTGGGTTGGAAGTGCCTTATCAATTTAATTTGCTTTACTATGAACATTAAATAAAATGCAAGGACAGTATCACTTTGGAGAGTAAAGTAACTGTTTATTAAAGGAGCTATATGTAAGAAATGTACTCAAAGTAATCATAAAATGACCCTAATATGTCACTAGACATTGAGGAATCATGTTAATTTCAAGTATTTATGTCAGACATAATAGTAGTCCAGCCAGAATATTTAATTTCAAACGCAATATTTCTGTGCCAGGAAAACTGTTTTGTTTTCATTTTGTGTTTTGGTCTGTTGCGCCACCTTCTGCCTAGCGTCCAATCGCGAAGTCAGTACTGTATCGTGATCCGGGTTGCCAGATAGGCTGAGCTGCAGCCATTTACTGTATAAGGAAGGCTGCAGCTACAAATGTTTCGGGTCAGAAATGTCTGACGTTACTAAATGCATTCGTGAACATGTTTACATTGCACTATTAGCCTACCAAATATATTTTAGTTGGGTAATGAAAATGGTCCATGTTTCCACTGGAGTGAACTATTGCAGTATATCTTTAGAATTATATTTGGCTTATCGCCATTATTCAGTTTTTGCTAGAAAAACATGTTTGAAGCGAATCATTGCGTCGTTGCCTCCGGATTTCACACCATTGAGGGCCATTTACTGCACACCGACTGCAGTGTGGATGATAATAAAACAGCGGTCAGAGCTGGCGTGTGTGTCCGACAGGGCTGCTCTATTCGGACACATTACTATGAAGCCCCGGTGACGGTGTGGGAGTGTGGATGCTAATAAAACAGCGGTAACAGCATGTGTGTGTGTCCGAGAGGGCTGCTCTATTCGGACACATTACTATGAAGCCCCGGTGATGGTCTGGAAGTGTGGATGCTAATAAAACAGCGGTAACAGCATGTGTGTGTGTCCGAGAGGGCTGCTCTATTCGGACACATTACTATGAAGCCCCGGTGATGGTCTGGATGTGTGGATGATAATAAAACAGCGGTAACAGCATGTGTGTGTGTCCGAGAGGGCTGCTCTCCTCGGACACATTACTGTGAAGCCCCGGTGATGGTCTGGAAGTGTGGATGATAATAAAACAGCGGTAACAGCAAGTGTGTGTGTCCGACAGGGCTGCTCTATTCGGACACATTACTATGAAGCCCCGGTGACGGTGTGGGAGTGCGGATGATAATAAAACAGCGGTAACAGCATGTGTGTGTGTCCGAGAGGGCTGCTCTATTCGGACACATTACTATGAAGCCCCGGTGATGGTCTGGAAGTGTGGATGATAATAAAACAGCGGTAACAGCATGTGTGTGTGTCCGAGAGGGCTGCTCTCCTCGGACACATTACTGTGAAGCCCCGGTGATGGTCTGGAAGTGTGGATGATAATAAAACAGCGGTAACAGCAAGTGTGTGTGTCCGACAGGGCTGCTCTATTCGGACACATTACTATGAAGCCCCGGTGACGGTGTGGGAGTGCGGATGATAATAAAACAGCGGTAACAGCATGTGTGTGTGTCCGACAGGGCTGCTCTATTCGGACACATTACTATGAAGCCCCGGTGACGGTGATGCAGTTGGTCAATATTATCAGGGATCTATGCAAGGCAAGTGTATTTGTATAGCACACTTCATACACAGAGGCAATTCTATGTTCTTTACCTAAATAAAAGCAAAGAACAGTATGTAAAACACTTGTCATGGTTGCTCCTTCTAGTAGACGCAGTGTTGTGTTGAGTAATCCGGGAACGGGGAATCTGGCAACCGCTACTCTGGGGGGGGAGGGGAGGGAGTACCACGCTGTACAGTATTTACAACGTGGTTGCAATAACAGTTTTGGCCAGAGAGGGCGCAATCCTACATATAGCTCCTTTAAACAAAAGGCCATTAACTTACTAACTAACCTACTAACCACTAACTAATAAAGATGGACAAGATGTAGCCCATCACTATTATGACGGTAACTGACTGACTCGCGTATAGCCTTGGCAACTCACAAACTTGATTTTAAGTCCTGTATGAAAGTTGTGATGTGAGACCCCTGGGTAATTCTCTGTCCTACCTAATTCGTCTACGTGTGCTGTACCGCACAGCGATTTAATAATACTGTATTTTGGCAGTTTACCAGTGTTCCTCTATTTGCCAGCAGGTAGCCAACCTGGTGGCAGCATGTTCATTCCTCACCCTTTCCCCTCTCACCACCACATCCAGCTTTGGCCCTCAGGTGTGTGTGTGGGGGGGGGGGGGCAGAGGATCACTGCAGAAATGTGCAATAAACTCCAATAAACTCTCTGTGGGTCCGCTGGTGAGGAGCTCAAAGGTTTAAGGTGAGAATGTGGAGAAGGAGGGATGAAGGAGGGGGGGGGGGGGGGGATTTGGCCAGGAGGAGGGGAGGGGTTATCTGTGAACGGCAGAGCGCTATACGTACAATTTGTGAGAAAGTTAATCTTTCCTCACGTTTTTTTTTAACAACCTGCCTTAAATTTTTGCTTCATTTTCACTTCCACCCCACTGAGGCTTATCTGCCCGCACAGAAGAGAGAGAGAGAGAGAGAGAGAGAGAGAGAGAGAATTAGTTCAGGGCTCTGATAATGGATATATTCCTGGAAGGAGACCAAGCTGCCAGAATGCACGAGGGGAAAGTATTCAGGGATCAGGGAGGAATGAAGATGAAAAAGAGAACAAAAACATAGGAGGAACCAAGCACACATTCACCGTTTACCCCAATAAGATGAAGACAGACCTTTAGAACCACTACAATCTGGTGCAGCCATCACATCTAATGCAGCCAGTCTTCACTGTTCAGTCATTTAGCGGACGCTTTTATCCAAAGCAACTTACAGTGGATTCAGACACGTGTCATTAAGGAGCAGGTAGTTAGGTTAGGACATCTTGTTCAGGGACGCCTACCGGTTAGGCGGCGGACATTGGGGTTTGACCCCAGCACCTTTCGGCTACCCTAACCACTAGACTATCATCACCTGTATAACAAGGTGTGTATACATACATACATATATATATATATATATATATATATATATAAGGGATGTCCAATATTGGCTTTTTTACCGATAACCGATATTGTTCAACTCTTAATTTCCGATACCGATATCAACCGATACCGATACCGATATATGCGGCCACGTGAAACCTCCGCTTTACACTCAGTGCAAACCGCAATAGGCTTTATGCCGAGCGTCACGTGACCAAACCGGAAAACAGGTCTCCTGACTTCCGCTTGCCGGAAAAGCCGGTAGCAGCGGTAGGAACTGACGGCGACAGCTATTGACTTGGCCTAGTTAGCCCTTTTTACTGTTGCCGTTTTATTTGATTTTAACATCTGAATGTCAGTGAGAAGAAAAGATGGATGAAAAAAAACAGAAAAAAACCAGCGGTTAAAGCTAGCAAGTGAGTCCGGGAGAGGGCTACTCTCCTCGGACACATTACTCTGAAGCCCCGGTGACGGTCTGGAAGTGTGGATTAATAAATAAAAACAAAACGGTGGTAAAACCTAGCGTGTGTGTCCGGGAGAGGGCTGCTCTCCTCGGACATATTACTCTGAAGCCCCGGTGACGGTCTGGAAGTGTGGATTAATAAATACAATTTTAAAAAAACAGCAGTAAAAGCTAGCGTGTGTCCGGGAGAGGGCTCCTCTCCTCGGACACATTACTCTGAAGCCCCGGTGACGGTCTGGAAGTGCGGATTAATAAATAAAATAATGTGAGCGGTACAGCGGACCTGAACCGGATGTGATGAGACTGTTTCGCAGAATGCGTTAGTATGTTGCGCATAACCCCTATTTTACTATTCAACGTAGAAACTTTGAAATAATTCCAAACCACCGACATAACTACAGCTACAACTAGCGTCCCGCTACACGGCCGCACATGCCCAGGCTTGTTATTGAGACAGTGCGGCGCGTTTGATGATGTCATCAAACCACGTCCTCACTTGAAACATAACAGATGTCTGAAATTATTTCAAACAAAGTGTTTATTTATTTCACACTGTCTTTGTACTAACAGAAAATGGTCGCTTGCATTCGACTCGGGACAATTAGAGCTTTCCAACAAGGTATAACATGCCATAGGCCACTTTAGTCATTTTGAGCTTTTTTAAAAACCGATACCGATATTTTCCGATATTGATTTTTTATGCCAATATCAGACGATAATATCGGTGGGCCGATAATATCGGACATCCCTAATATATATATATATTAATTTTAAAGAGTTTGAGTGATTAATTCCGAATCATCAGCAAGTAGTTTTTGCACAGCAGTCCAGGTAAGGTAATGAGTCATCTCTGGCTGCTGATTGCTCACCCTTTCATAATCCAACAGTAAAAGAGAGAGAGAGAGAGAGAGAGATCACTATTTCAAGCGACAAACACCACTACTGGAGTGCTCCCCATTTTAAGCTATAGCGCTATGGTCAAAATATTGAATGAATAGATAACATATAATGTGGTCCTGTCTAGCTTAACTTGTAGAGCATGGTGATGATACTGCTAGGGTAAGGGGTTCAATTCCCACTGGGGCCACCTCTGCTATGAATGTATCCACTCATGGTTTTGCAAGACAAGACAAGATAGCTAAAGCTTATTGTACCCAAAAGTAACAAAACAACAAATAAACATCAAAAACCTTCCTAAATGATGACACGAAGACATTGTGTGCGCGACTGCGTGTGTGTGTTCACGAGCGTGGCCCAGGGTCCTAGGATGCGGTTTTGTAACAGTGAGTTCTCTGTAAGATGATGTAATCGTTGTCGACAAACTCGTCCCCATCATTACTCAACTCTGTCCCTCTGGAGCCGATCACGACTTGTGCTTTAGTGTTTCAACAGCAAACATACTTTGAATGTACAAAAAACAACCAAGCAAACAAACACTTAAAAGTTTGCTTCTCCACATCTCCCACCGGGCTCAGCGCTTGCCTTTTTAGCACTTTCAAGTACTAAAAAAAAACACATGTCTGGTTGGTTTTCTGGCAAATCTTCAAAAGTAAAAAAAACAACAACCAGATAGTGACCTACTCTGTGTGTGTCTGCTGATTCAGCCCCTGCAGACTAGTGTGTGTGTGTGTGTTTGTGTCTGTGGGAACAAACAACCATCACACTACCTAGTTATACTAGTCATGTCTAAATTTCGCCAAGTCCAATGCACCTCTCTCAACTGTGCATGTCACTATAGATACACACCATCTGTGCAGGGTTACCGGGTGCACCTAGCCTCTGCTAGCTCAGCAGTGTGTGTGGGGGGGGGGGGGGGGTAACACAATACACAGACAGCACGTCGGAAACTGGGCCGCGGCATGCTTGGCATTCCAGCACGGGAGGGGCGGGTGCATTGTGTACAGAGGCCATTGTGTTTGTCCAGTGGCATGCACACTGCCGCACCACGGCGGACCATGACTCACGCCAAGGGGCCGTCTCAACTGAGACCACCAGGGGGGTAACACAAGCAGGGGGTAGGGGAAAGGTCAAAAGGTCAATACTCTGTTCACGTCTCAGCCACCACCCACGGTCCTCTGACTCAGTGGGTGGGGGGGGGGGGGGGGGATTAGAGCTCATGAGTTGCAGTCTTGTGCGCGGTAGTCAGCCTTTTCCGTTCATTTGCATGACGTCACCATGTGACATTGACTCGTCCTCCTGAATGTCGGACACTTTACGCTCGTTAAGCGCGGCGCCTTCAAAAACTTGAGATGACACAATTCCCATTGGCTGTCAACGTCTACAGCCAATTCTCATTGGGTGTCAGCATCGTCACTCACTTAAATGTAGACGTAGCTCCGGCGCGGCACCAGTGAAGTCTTGTGTTTTTATCCATGAGGGTTTATTCAGTCCGCCGGGTATATCTTTTTTTCCAGTAGACCGCTGAGCAAAAGTAAATCACATTATGAATCACGTTCGTTTCACCTCGAGCACTTTTCTAGAAGCGCGGTTCCCAGTGTACGGTCCGTGATTGGTCGTGCTTGCATGTCAATAAAGACCTCTTCTTGACAGTTAATCAACGCTGTGTCCCAGACAACGGAAAGGCTCGGCTCAGGTAGTGCGAGATACGAATGGCGTTGTAATGCCTCATAGTGGAATAAGGAAAAAGTGGGAGAAGAAAAGAATTACAACAAAGACATGATTCATAATAGATAGTATAGTATAGTATTAGAGAGTGTCAATAGGGTTGTTCTGCCCACAGCAAGAGCAGGTGAAACGTGAAAATATTCAGCGCACATGAAATGGAGTCAGCCGTTTTATTGTGGACTTCAAACAGCGGCTCCGATACCGTGAAATGGAATTTGGTGGAAACCTTGTTAAAATTAAAATGAGGTATTTGGGTTGGGGTTGAGCTGGCTCAGCTATGAGGTTCAGCAGAACCACCGTTTCTCTCTAATCCCGTCACTGACTGTGAGGGACACCGATACCGAGTTCAGCACCAAGTCCATTCTCTGGTAAGTTTGGACATTTCAGAGAGGGCGGGGCGGAAATGCACATGACACTTTCACTCCTTTTGGTTTCCCTACTTTGTTAGCCTCATAACACTACTTGACCACTGGCAAGAGAGAGAGAGAGAGAGCGAGAGAGCAAGAGAGCGAGTGAGAGCGAGAGAGAGAGGCAAGGTGGAAAAGGACAAGCCACCATCTCCATTCTAATCGCCAGTGCCAATGTAAAAACTTGAACCATCTGTCGAGACCTTGGCACAGGGATGCATGTGAGCTCCATGGGCCACGATGCAAATGAGTGTTTTGAGGACACGACCATGGATGGGAGTCTGTCCTATTAAAAGTGAAAAATAAAATACGACATCAAAAAATAAAAGAGGGGGAAAAAAGCATTGGGCCAGGAATTCCAAGCAGAGCTAAATAAAATCATGTGTGTCCAAAGGGCAAATACCAGAGGAGATCAAAGGCAGAGAGGGGAAGAGAGAGAAGACAATGAAATAAAATGAATAGGAAGGACAAAATACAGAGCATAAAACTTTTAGAGAGGGAGAATAAAGACATTTATGGACCAGGGTTTGGCCTACAGTGGCAAAATTAGTTCATGGCCTCGAACAGTTTATTAATTTTACTGTGTAATTAGTTTGTCTTTTATCAAGTAAATCACCAACCATATGACACACATAGCTTCACAAATGACAATGTACTTTCTCAAATCATTATCAATTAAACTTAATTTTTTGCGGGGAAGACAATGTAAGAGAACTTAATCACTTTGGGCTTTGGTAACTTCTGATGCCATTTTATAGACTCAATTATGAATCTAACAAAACATAACTAATGGAAAAAAACAACATTACAATGAATGGAGTGGGCATTTATGATGAAACTTGTGGCAACCCGAAGAGCTGCTTTCATCTCATACAGCAGGGGTTCTCAAACATCTTCTGGACCGTGGCCCAATTTTACATCTAAAAATCGTCACAACTGCAACTACTTCTTCAACGTTAATGCACCTTTTCCCTACACATCCTTTAACGATGCCAACAGTTCTGTCAAAAATGCACCGTCAAATATCTATAGCGCATAATTCAAAAATCTCGCATGACCACATCGACACTCAAGGCAACCCCAAATTGGTTCCCGACCCAGAGGTTGAGAAACGTTGCCACAGTGTATGGTTTGTGAGATGGTTTATGAGCGTGGCAGAGGCTGAACATGTACAATAGAAGAAAATGAGAGGCTTCAACAATGTGCATCTGTTTTCATCTGGAATACAGAAGATGGCAAGTGCCTGGCATTTTGTTTCTTTGCCGTTTGATTTTGAGCGTATCCGTTTGTTCTGCTTTCTTTGAAGTTGTTTGTGATGTTTGACACTCACCGACCGCATTTCTGTGAGGGCAAAGAAACATAAAAATAAATAAATAAAATGTCAATGATGCTAGCTGAACTGAGGGAGGAATGTTTAAAAAGGGGGAGAAGCAGCCATCTCAGGGGAGATAACAAGCATTAGTATGCATGCAGACGACGGCGCGTTTTACAAAAACAGAGTGTCTCCCAGGGGCCTCGAATATTCTGTAGCTTTGATTAGGTCACCGGGCAGTTTACAGCTTGGCCGACGCTAAATTAGAGGGCGGCGTGGAGGAAACCCCCCGGGACGGGGAGCACATGTCGCAAATGATATGCTCCGTCTTGCACCTCAGTCTAACTGTTGTAATGAAAGTCTGTTTTTTTCTGTAATAAGTCAGTTGCTTTAACAGACATTTCAAAATAAGAGAACCACTGCCTCTTCTTTTCAGTTACATGTTCACAAAAGTCTGTTGTTTCCCTGAGGCATTTGAAAATAAGAGCACCCCTTCTTTCGGGTTGTTGGCATTGGGGAGTTTTGCCCTTCAACAATTTCTGGGGCATTTTCCATTGAACGAGTCGTGAGTGCTGTACACATAAATTAGATGTTGAAGACATGATCGTCATTCACTAAATATTTCAGCCGAGCCAGGAGTGGAATACAGACAAGTTAATTAATTACGAGTCGTCTGGAGGGGGTGTGGATCGAAGTGGATTGGAAGGACATGGCAACCTTAAACCAACAACAAGCAAAGCACTTATTTCAAGCGTTGTTTGAAACTTAGGAGGTCAAACTAGGTGCCTATTAACAACAAACAAAAATATACCCTCCTATAACAACCCCAACGACCCTAGCAATCCCCCGTGGGGATGGAAGGCACTGTTCAGATGCCATCAAGCCGGCTATCATTGTTGTTGTCGTTGTTGTTGTTGTACTGCCGCACGTTTGTGTCCTGTTTTTCCCTATTCAGACAGCAATGTCATGCTAGGTTGAGATTTTCATGTCATGACAATAGCTTTGTTTTGTCTACCCATTTTAAAAACACAATGTGATGAGGCATTCAGAGGAGGCGTCTTACCTTGCCAACATGGCATAGTTATGAAGCAATTGGGGTAATTAAACACTGGTCTGACTGTGAGGGACACTGATATCGAGTTCAGTATCAAGTCTATTCTCTGGTAAGTTTGGGCATTTCAGAGAGAAGCACTTTTCTTTTTTGTCTTTCCATCGACCATGTTGAAAATGGCGGGCAGAGGACTGCTTGAACTCGATGGCGTGACCTTTCGGCCGTACATAAGGCAGACGACTCTTGGATAGGGAGACTGTGACATCACATCCTCCTCCAGTATATACTGACCTTTCACCCTCTTTTGGTTTCCCTACTTTGTTAGCCTCATAACACTTGACCACTGGCAAGACAGAGGGGAAAACCGGGTGAGAAAGCAAAAAAGCGAGGGAGAGAGTGAGAGTGAGTGAGTGAGTTGCCAACATGACATAGTAATGAGTCAAAGGGGTAATTAAACACTGGTGAAAAGCAAACAAAGGAATGCTGGTTTGAACCAAATCGGGAACATCTAACAAAACTCTGGCTGTTTTGTGTGATGGGGAGAAGAAACAAAGAATTATGATGACATGACTTTATATCACCACAAGGCCTGCAGTACTATATAATACGTCATATTATGTCCACAACCCTCAATAGGTACAACATGAGAATCATCTGTGTTGAACTTGGCTGGGATAATATTGGCTCGGCTG